GCAGTAAGGAGCAATTCTGTCCTGGCCACCAGGTCTGATGGAGAGAGGCTTACTTGGTTAATATTGCTTCTTTGCTTTAATTTTGCACAGGAAATTACTTTAGTTTGGATTTAATTCTTCCAGTTGATCCTTGAGAGGTATTATGCTTTAACAGCGCCAGGAAAAACAAAGATTAGATGAAGGTTAATATCCCGTGGTCTTTCCAAAGTAGGTGTCTGCAGAGTTTAGTTAAAAGAAAATAAAAAGGATCTTCTAGCATAAAGGATATGTCAGTGTTTTATATCCTTGTGCACTGTGTGCCTCTTCCAAATTTCATCTCTTGAATTACTGGCTCCAAACTCTGCCGGAAAGGGGACATAAATAAACTGGAATGGCTAATGGACTAAAAACACTTATGATCAGGTTTTCATAACTAACATTATTGATAGCTTCCTTTGAACACACACTCCTATACAGTGCAATTTTCTTTTCGAAAGTAAGATTTAGAACCCTATTTGCAATAAAAAAGGCTAACACATGCAAATAAAAAGAGAGAGATAGGCGAGAATCCATTACGTAGCTACATGCCATGGACTTGTACAGAGAATATAAAGGGACACCCTTTCCTGAAGACAAAAAGGAGGCAGCCTTTTGCAAGGTTCCATCAGGGCTTCTCACGCACACCTCTCATAATTAGTTTTAAAAGGGTCTGGATAATATTTTCTTATCTTTGTCACAGCCCTGGAAGCACAGAGCCTAATTTTCAGGCTTGATCTGGGAATGATGTCACACAGTCCTTTGCTGTAATATCTGCTAGCCTGGTCCTGCAGTGAAATTTTATGCACTCAAGTTGCCCTGCATATAAGATAGGAGCAGTATTTTGCTGAAAATCTAGGAAGATGGAGTGGGGAGAATAGAGAAGGAATGTATTTAAGTAGTTGAGGATTCACTTTGCCGAAGGTCCCACATTCAGTTCCCAGCATTTCCAGGCAGGGCTGGGAGAGACCCGTTTCAGAAACCCCGGAGAGCTTCTACCAGTCAGAGTAGACAATACTAAGCTAGATGGGCCAGTGGCCTGAATTGCTAAAGGCAGCTTCCTTTGTTGCTAAGATCAGCTCTCCCAGCTCACACTAAGTGGTCCATCTAGCCCAACTTCCTTTTGCCCCAAAGTGGTCAGGCAGATGCCTTTGGAAAGCCCACAAGCAGGACACAAAGGCAATTGCTCCCTTATGCTGTTGTTCTGCTGCAGCTGTTAGTCAGAAGGCTGTTCCCTCTCAATGTTCAGAAACCTTTTTCCAGTCTGGTGCCCAGCCGTCCAGTTGTCTGGGGCCACGGCTCCCACCATCCCCAACTACCACCACAGCCAAAACAACGGTAGAACACAAGATCGGGACAGCCTGACATAAAGGCTGTATCATGTTTTGTATTTGTTTACACTGACTAGCAGCACCTCTCCAGAGTTTCAGACAGCCGGGCATGCCAAGCCCTGCCTGGAGAGGCCAGGGATTCAGCCTGGGACCTTTTGCTTGCAAAGAAGAAGAAGAGTTTGGATTTGATATCCCGCTTTATCACTACCCGAAGGTGTCTCAAAGCGGCTAACATTCTCCTTTCCCTTCCTCCCCAACAACAAACACTCTGTGAGGTGAGTGGGGCTGAGAGACTTCAGAGAAGTGTGACTAGCCCAAGGTCACCCAGCAGCTGCATGTGGAGGAGCTGAGACGCGAACCCGGTTCCCCAGATTACGAGTCCACCGCTCTTAACCACTACACCACACTGGCACTACATCACACTGGCAAAGCAAGGCTCTCCGACTGAGTTGCAATATTTCTCCTTAAAGTTGTACCCATGCGGGCCCTCTTCAATCTTCGAATGGATGCGCATAGGTCAAGGGTGGAAATTTATGGAGATTCTGTGAGTGGGTGGGTACAGGCATAGGTGGGGCAGCCTGTTCTGTACAGGGCTGCCTTCCCCTTGAAGGCACAGGCATGTGGCTCTTTGAGTCATTTTTGTCACTTTTTATTTATTGCATTTGTATCCCACCTTTCCTCCAAGGAATTCTCCTCCTCCCCATTTTATCTTCACAACAGCCCTGTGAGGTAAGTTAGGCTGAGAGATGGTGACTGGCCCAAAGTCACCCAGTGAGCTTCACAGCTGAGTAGGAAACTTTGGTCTCCCATCCTAGTCCAACACTTCAACCACTACACTACACTGGCTCACCATTTGGCTGCCGTGGCTGGTACACCAGCTTTAGCCATTACTGGACAGTGGTAGGTAGGATATTCATGCTCTGGGAACTTCCAGGTAGAACTATGAAAATGCACTGTATATGGGGCTGTCCTTGAAAATGGTCTGGAAGTTGCTACTGTTGCAGCTAGGTTGCTAGCGGGTGTCCTGGAATAGACAGTGTGGAGTAGTGGTTATAGAGTGTCAGACTTGCACCTGGGAGACCTGGGTTCAAATCCCCACTCAGCCATAAAGTTCAGTTGGTGACTTTGGGTCAGTCATCTAACTCAGGGGTCAGCAACCTTTTTCAGCCATAGGCCGGTCCACTGTCCCTTAGACCATGTGGTGGGCCGGGCTATATTTTTTTTTGTGGGTTGGGAATTCCTATGCCCCACAAATAACCCAGAGATGCATTTTAAATAAAAGCACACATTTTACTCATGTAAAAACACCAGGCAGGCCCCACAAATAACCCAGATGCATTTTAAATAAAAGGACAGATTCTACTCATGTAAAAACACGCTGATTCCCGGACCATCCACTGACAGGATTTAGAAGGTGATAGGGCCGAATCCGGCCCTCAGCTCTTAGGTGGCCTACCTCTAATCTAACTCAGCCATACCTACCTCTCAGGTTTGTTGTGAAGATAAAATGGGGGATGGGGCGAAGAACTATGTACACTACCTTGAACTCCTTGGAGGATATTTGAAATATACCGTATTTTTCGCCCTATAGGGCGCACCGGCCCATAGGGCGCACCTAGTTTTTTTGGGGGGGAATAAAGAAATCCCCCCCCAGGCGTGGGGCTGGGGTGGGGGAAGCCCGAGCTTCCCCCGACCCCAGCGCCCAGAACAGGCTGCTATCCGCAAGCCTTGGGAGCCCACGGGGAACTCCCGCCGGGCTCTCCAGGCTTGCGGATATCTGCCCGAAGCCCGGGGCGCGCTGCTCAGGGCGCCCCAGGCTTCGGGGTGCAGGCTGCTATCCGCAAGCCTGGGGAGCCCGGCGGGAACTCCCGCGGGCTCCCCAGGCTTGTGGAGAGGTGCCCGAAGCCCGGGGTGCGCTCCGCTGTGCTCCCCAGGTTTCGGGCTGCAGGCTGCTGTCCGCAAGCCTTGGGAGCCCAGCGGGAAGTTGTGCCGGGCTCCCAAGGCTTGCGGAGAGCTTCCTGAAGCCTGGAGACCCCTCTTGCACCGACCCCTCTCGCTCTCCAGGCTTCAGCGAAAGCCTGCATTCGCCTTCATTTTTGGAGGGGGAAAGTGCGTCCTATAGGGCGAAAAATACGGTAAGTGCAATAAATAAAGAAATAAATAATTTCTGAAAACAATTGTAGTGGTTGCCAGTCCCAATTTAATGTGTTAATGTTTGAGACCCCAAATGACCTAAGTCACAAGTAGTTGAAGGAGAACTTTGCCCTACATCAACCTATGTACATTTTAAGATTTGAAAGGAAAGCTTTGCTGGTGGTCTCAACAGCCTTATGAGATTCGTGGTGTGAGGGCCCACTGGCAAGCTTTCTCTTTCATGACGCCTGCATCTAACCAAGACACTGAGGCCTTTTTGTCGGCAGGTGAAGAGACACCTCTTTGCCTTTTGAAGAAGGGTCGAGGTATATTGGGAATTTGAACTTCTGCTGCTGCTGCTTATAGAGCTGAACTCTGTATTGTATTTTGCTTTGTGGTGTTTAAATTTTATTGCTTAACTTTTGATTTGGACTCTGTAATTTTCTACCCTTGGGACCTTTGGGTGAAGAGCAGATTGCAAGTACTTTTAATAATGAATGAGTGAATGAAATAGATGCCAGGCAAACCTCATTGTGGAGAATGCTCCGCAACTGGGGTGCCTTGATCACGAGGGCCCTTTCTTCAGTAGCCACCTCAGTATAAAGTGGCATTTATTTATTTTCACTGTAAACTGGGGACACTATTTGAATTTTACAACTCAGGCACCAAAAGTTATCTGGCCTGAACAATATCGATGTGCAGATCTACTGTGTGGTGTGGGGGACCTCAATCCTGGGCCTGTCTCTGGTGGCCAGAACTTTTCCCACACCATACCCCTGGCTGGCCCTGCTTGTGTCCTTGAGCCCCAATAACAGCCCGTGCATCTGCGCGGCCATAGTAGATGGGTAACAAGGATGATAGAATAGATGGACAATTTAGTGTCCACCCAGGCTTGAGGCAACACTTATGATTTTTGCACGGATTAATCCAGGGATGGGGAAAATGTGATCCTTCAGATCAGAGGTAGGGAGCCTATGGCAAGGTAGACAGATTTCTATTGTTTACTTTAAAATATATATATTTGCAAACTCATGTTTACAGCTATTCTTATTTTATCTGTAAGCCACCTTGAGACCCAGTTGGGGGGAAAGGCGGGGTATAAATATGATACAATATTTGATATGACCAGGGCATCAACTCCCACCAGCTCCAATTACTACAATGATCAGGGATTGGAGAGGGGGCCACATCCCTGCTCTAGATGTTGCAGCAGGGCTACAGCTCCCACCATCCTTGACTACTGGGACTGCTGGTTGGGGCTGGGAGTCCAGCAACATCTGGAGGGGTGCAGCTTCGCCCCATCTCTGCATGAAGCGGAAACCTCCAACAACCACAGAGATGGGGGAAGGAGAAGCGCAGAGCACAGCCCTCGCTTCCTGTTTCTTATTCCAATATGTACCGCCTTACGCGAGGGAGCCGATCTAGCCCCACGCCTCTATGGTAATCCATTCTATGTTACCATCGACGTAATAAGGATATTTATGCCTTCAGGCGTGTTTTCGTATCCGTCATCCCGAGTACGTCTCACTGGGAAGCGGAGGCGCGTCTGCGTTGGTAGCCCCTTTAAAATAACACAAGGCATGCCTTTGCTGCCCGCGAGAGTTTTCTTTCCAGGCATCTCGTTTCTTCCCGGAACGTCCGTGACAGCCGCGCGGGTCACCCGGACCTCTTAGGAAGAGGGACATACCTTAGGCAAGATGGCCGCTGCCATGGCGGGTTCACGTGGGGAGGCCGAGGTTGCCGGAGCCGAAGTCGAAGCGAGCGATAGCGGTAACGGGCGCGAGGATCCTGTTTGCGCTGGGTGGGGAGCCCCGGTGGTGGAAGGGGGTGGCGGTCAGGTGTTATAAAGGGAGAAGTTACGGGGCGCGTGGATGGGCAGCGATGGAGAAACTCGTTCCTCTGCACCGCCGAAGGGTGGAATGGGGCGAAAGTGCCTGGGATCGAGTACGGTCTTCGCCCCAGTTCCTCGTTCTCTTTGTTTCTACGTCTCATTTTTGCCTTCTGCACAGTTCCGTGTTCTTCTCTCTCCCCACTGTTGTATGCTGGTTTCCAGTGCTTTTTTCCCCCTCTTAAAAATATTTAGGGGCACTCTCATTTTGACTCAAGAAAATCACCATTTTATAGTTCAAATCAGGGAAAATAAATACAGTAAATGGACAGAAGTACAGAGATTCACAAAATGTTTAGGGGTATGCGTCCCCCCAGGAAAAAAAGCACTGCTGGTTCCATTTCTGTGTCTAACGCGAACTTGTTATCCAGGATGCCTGAATCTTGATCGCCGTTGCCTTTTCTAAGCTTCCTGGGTTATGTGGTGCAGCAAACAAGAACAAAAACCTGCTAGCCTATTTGCAAAGCTAAACGGGGTCGGGTATGATTTCAAATTGGATCGGGGACCACGTGTTGAGATTCCTGGGTTGCAGGGAGTTGGACTAGATGATTTCCCCCTCCCCGAAGATAAGATTGCTATGTATTTACCCTCTCCGCTCTTCATAGACCCCTTTTCTATCTCTCTCAGCACACTCGGGGACACAGCACCAGCCGTGCTGTGTGTAGTGGAAGGAGAAAGAATAGTAGGATGACTTTCTCCTCTGAATAGCAGGGAACAGTAATGAACTTTGCTTTCCCTAATGATGCAGCCATATTATTGCTCTGGTTCATATCGTCATTCTGTAGAAATGGAAATCGCTTTCGGAGACAGAATCTGATGACTTGGTTCATTTTTTAGTCCTTCAAATTATTTGTACTATTTTTTATTTTATTTTTTATTACTGATGAAGTTGAAAGCCTTTAGATTTCACACATTTTTACTGGACAAAAATGGAGCAGCAGTCAAGTGTTGGCTAGGAAAAGTAAGGGTAGCTGCAAATAGAATATCACCCAGTGTGTTATTGGCCCAATACTACTGCAGTAGCCAGTGTCAAAGAGATTTAGCCCTTATTAAAAACTTACTAGCTAGTTCAGGATTGTTTTACGCCTTACAAAATTTTGGTATGAAAGGTGCTGTAGAGTGCAACAAGTGAAGACAAATTTGGTGTGTGATTGTGTACTGATCCTGTAACTTAGAATCCAAGAATGGTAGAGTTGGAAGGGACCCCGAGGGCTATCTGTTAAAACCCCTAATTTTTATTCTGCAGTCTTGTACCCATTTGGGAGTTAACCTCCATGGAACACAATGGGAATTACTGCTTGATAGGTTTGTATAGGTTCATGCCATCAGACATGCAGTTGTGTTGTACAGACAGTTACCTACACAAAGGAAGGTTTGCTGGGAGGAAAGAATTCTGGACTAGGTGGGCCTTTGCTCTGATCCAGCTGGCCTCTTCTCATGTTTTTATATACTTGTGATCTTGAACATGCTTTCTATACAAGTGCTTTATTACTTTATAGCTGAGGCTGGCATCTACTTAAGTGATATCACCTGATGCTTGGCAAATTACAGTCTGTCAAATGGTGATAAGAAATACCTCGACGCTAAGGATAATTGGGATTAAGTGCTTGAAAGCATGTACTGCAATCTAGAAATAATGGTGAAACTCATGAGTTAACTTTGTCCTAGGTCAGGGGATGTTTTTTGGCTGCTGATAAATCGGCATCCTGTTGTGAATTTATTAACTGAGCCAGGAACTGCTTGTACTTGCCAATATTGAACTTCGGCTGCTGAGGAAATGATTTTATTGTGCTTATGAATATATTTGTGCTGCTCAGCTGCAGTGAGGAAAATAGGCTAATTCTTACAGTCCATTTTGGGGTTGTCACTTTCCACATTTTTGTGATTTTTTGGGTGGCCCAAATAAAAGTATTACAAACATGAGGACTTAGCAGTTTTTTTCTTATGGCCCGACACATATTGTTTTTATGCTAATCTTTGTAGATATGTGCAGATGCAGAATTAATCTGATGCTCTTTCACTAGAATGAAACCATTTAATATTTTTGAACTGGCAAAATGCTCTCTCCCGCATCACCCTTGAATGTCAAAGGTGGATTAGTGGTTAAATTGGTTTGGTTCTAGTGGCTGGCTAGTGTTAGTCTGCATACTCTGGCCTTCATAGAGATGGATGGGGTCATTCAGTGTTATCAGATGCTAAGCAGTGTTTTTCATGTCTACTTCTGGACAGATTGACAGTGGTCTACACTATTTGAATTTTAGTAGGTACCTTGTAAGCAAGCTTTCACCTTGGGTATTGGAGGGACTTTGTTCCCTGGTGATTGACAAGTAAATATAATGACAGGATAATATGGACAATTGACACTTTGTTCTCTGAAAACATAGTATACATAATAGGTCAGGCACATCATGTAGAGTGCTGTGTTACTCAGACTTGCATATGTTGTTGGTAGCCAGAAATTGATGAGAAAATGTTATTGATGGGAGTGGCTGGGGAAACCCAGCCATATGGGCAGGGTATAAATAAAACTATTATTATTATTATTATTATTATTATTAATTATTATTACTGCATTGTCACTTTAACATCTCTTGTGGCAGATGTCTGTCAGCCAGTTCACAGACTGAAAGTGCTATCTGCTATATATTGTGGGAGCAAATTCTGTGCTGTGTGCCAAAGTACATTCTTCTGCCCATCATTTGTGTTGTAGAATGACTGAGGTTTGTATGAGAATTAGAGTTGATTAAACATGAGCTGTGTTTAGTCTTTTCTGAAATGATGTTAGCTAAGGGTTGTGAGGATTTTGATTGGTGGTAGGCTGTGGCTGATGTTGCCATGTACTCAATCTGTCAAAAAACAAGAAAGCTGTACCAAAGTGCGTTTAAAGGTCTTTTGGCTATCTTTTCAACCTGCTTCCCTGTGGAGTTTTCTGAAACTACTGGGTGGGAAGAGCAGTAAGAAAATGTGTCCTAGTAATCTTTTCTCCCAATAGACTGCTGGGTGTGTTCTTCCCCTTATCAACCACTAACTAACTATAAATTCTTATAGCCTGATCAACTAAATTCTTACAACATAGATGTAGTAGCCTTAGCTTTATTCCTTTAAGAAGTATCAGAATAGAAGGGATGGACAATTGCAGCAAAGCGAAGCCTCAGATTATCTTCTCTGTATGGACAAAATACCAGTGACCGTTTTAATCAAATTTGCACCAAGTGAAATCAGTGATGCACTTAGCATGTATATGCTGAATTGGCTTGTATCACATGCTTATTTTAATCTATCTTGATTTTGGCATTTCAACACTAGATGTCAGTGTTGTGATTGTAATCTCTTTAAATAAACCAGAAACATGTTTCCCCCCTCAAATGTTTTGCTCTTACCCAAAACATTATTAATTCCATAATAAAGTATTGGGGTTTTGTTGATTCTTCTGCCATGACTTCTGAAATCTTTGTTCTGAAGAGGATTTTGTTTTTGTTTTTTTATTTTGCGTGATGTGGATCCTCATATTTTCTCAATTTGCTGCAAATAGTTTGTTGCAGATTAGTTACAGCAGGAAGTGGTGACTGGTCCTTTGAATTCCAGTAACTTGGGACAAATTATCCTTGATTAAAGATGTTGTCCAAGTAGCAAGGAACTGGGCATACCTCCTCTTAGGGTGAATTGCAGTTTAAATCACGATTTAACAGCAAGGAGACAGGCCAGTTTCTATTGTCTAATTAAATAAAGGTTCCTGTAGATCGTTTTGTAATGGTGCAAATTTGACCACTAAACAAAATAGCTTACTGGAGAATTACTTGCACTATTGTTTCATTTTTACAATCAGCCACTACATTTCTTTGTTGTATGGTATGTGTTAATTTTGCGTGCTTTGCTTTTCTACCTCTAGAGAGAATATCTTTTAAATGTTTCCAAATAGGGTCGTACCTTGGAAATCAAACAGAATCCGTTCCAGAAGTCCTTTCAACTTCCAAAACGTTTGGAAACCAAAGTGCGGCTTCTGATTGGCTGCAGAAAGCTCCTGTAGCCAATCGGAGGCCCTGTCGGACTTTTGGCTTCCAAAAATATTTCGCAAACAGTTACTGTTTGCGGTGTTCGGGAACTAAGCTGTTCTAAAAACCAAGGTATGACTGTGGTAGGGCTAGAGAACATCAGATGTGGGGGCCAAATACACAGCCTCTTTTTCTGCCCTTAGGAACGCTCTCCTCCATAACTCTGCTTTGTACCCTAAGCATTTTTGCCTGGCTGGAATGTGCCCTAGAGTTCTGCCTCTTGCTTGTTTGGATGGAAGGTAGAGAGGGGTGTGGGTAGAAGCCAGCCTGTTGTACAAAGGCAAAATTCACATTCATCGCTCTGCCCACTTTTGCCTGGCATGTGCCCCCAGGAAGCTTGTCCAGAATGGAAGTAGCCTTGGGATAGAGACTCCTGCCATATGGGATATTGTAGCCAAGGCAGTTTGTGCAGCAAAGTCTGGGAATATAGGAACCGTGAGCACTGGAAAACTTTACTTCCTCTTCCCAGAGTTGCTCCATTCTGCTGGTGCAGTCGCACCCTCACAAAAACAGAAAGCAAAGAAAACATTACAAAACCCTGTGAGTGAAAGATTGAAGCACTTTCTGAGTAGTTGCTGGACAAACTTGAACACTTTATTTATTCTTAGGTGAACGTGAAATACCTGGCTGTGTTTGGGTGGTAGGTGGAAGTTTATCATGTATTAAGAAGTGATCTGATTGGTTCGTCATTTGTGGAGAAAATCCTTATCTCAGTGTATGTAATAGAGGCACTGGTTCTGTTTAGAGGTGAACTTTAGGACTAATACACTTATCTTAGATTGTTTTAACATTAGGCATAGAATCTTAGAGGGGCATCTAGTCCAAACCCCTGCAATACAGGATTATTTTTGCCCAATGTGGGGCTCGAACCCATGACCCTGAGATTAAAAGCCTCATTCTCTTACCAACTGAGCTATCCCACTTATATTGGTATCCTTTAAGGGAAACTTAAAGGGATGCAGGTGGCGCTGTGGGCCTAGGACTTGCCGATCAGAAGGTCAGCGGTTCGAATCCCCGCGAAGGGGTCAGCTCCTGTTGCTCGGTCCCTGCTCCTGCTAACCTAGCAGTTCAAAAACACGTCCAAGTGTAAGTAGATAAATAGGTACCGCTCCGTGGGAAGGTAAACGGCGTTTCCATGCGCTGCTCTGGTTCGCCAGAAGCGGCTTAGTCATGCTGGCCACATGACCCAGAAGCTGTACGCCGGCTCCCTCGGCCAATAAAGCGAGTTGAGCGCCGCAACCCCAGAGTCGGTCACGGCTGGACCTAATGGTCAGGGGTCCCTTTACCTTTACTTAAGGGAAACTTGTAATTTACTTGGAGAAAAAAAATCCATTTGAAATATGAAGGGTTGCAGCCAAAGTTCTACAATTGCAATTCTGCAAGTGTAGTGGGACTTCGCCTTCCTCTCCTCCTGCTTTGTGCCCCTAAAATCTGCTCCAGAGTTCCCCCCAGGGGGTGCGGAGGATTCTTCCCTCCCGCAAATAGAGGTCTCTTTTGCTAGCAGAACAAGACCATTGCATACATGTTCACTGAGTTTGATTTTTCTCCACTGCTCTTCTTCTAGGTTCCGAGTGGAGCTCTGGCATTCCAGAGGACAGCTTCTCTTCGGGGGGTGAAGAACCTGACGGCGACGATGAGGATGAGCCTCAGACCCCAGACACGAAAGCCGAAGATGCAGGAGAGTCGAAAGATGCAGGAAATGCTGGCTGGGCTGATGCCATGGCAAAAGTGCTCAGTAAGAAAGTTCCCAAGAGTAAGCCCACCATACTGGTTAAAAACAAAGAGCGGGATAAGGAACGAGAGAAGGAAAAGCAGGAGAGGCTGGAGAAGAGGAGAAAGGTAAGGAAGCAGATGCAACGTCATGATACTATACATTATGTCCTCCATAAAAACAGTCCTCCCCTTTAGTATTTATTCACACTTACTCTCAGTAGCCAGATTGCTAAACTTTTGCAGGCATTGATTTATGAAAGGTCAGTTTGAGAGACGCCTCTGGGTTACTATGAAGCTTGCGCTCTGTGCATATGCTTTGGCTTGTCATGGTAGGGATTGCTAGTGTGCTCCAGGGGTAAAAACTAGCAGCCAAAACATAAGCAAAGTTATGCTTGTGCAGAAGTTCAAAGCTCGTTGGAGGAGCAAGCTTGCTTCCTAGCTGCTGACCTGGGACCATGCCCATAATTTACTAAAAGTACCATCTGAATTCAACCTCGGACTGTTGTTTCCATCTCAGTTAGCATATTAGCACTGGGAAAACTGAAACCGGGACAAGTTCTGGCAGGTCATCTATGCAGAATGAACATGTCGCTCAAAACAGACGATGCATACTCACCTTTGCATTGTTGTGTCTCAGAGTCCAGGAAGGAGCAGTCCCCTCCCCTCAGTAAGCCAACTCTTAAATCAGAATTCAAAGCTGGCCATTGATTGCCACTGTGGTGGCACTTGGTGATTTTAAGTTATTTATTGTTTGAAGGATGCTGGTTTCCTGACCCTGTAAATGAGCCAATAATTTGTGTAGTATGTGGTAGCCTGTATTTTAGGACCGGGGCTTGCATGGCTCCTGGTCCTTACGGCTGACAGTGCTCCCTGTGTTAAAGTGTAAAATTTTGGGAAGCAGTGCTTTTCAGGGAGTTAATAAGACATCCTTAGGTCACCGCTGATACACCTGGTGAACAAGGTGCTAGTCTCCTTAGAAAGGCACTTCGGTTTTCCACTCTGTTAATGACAGTGCATCTGGGATAGGGTGGGCTAAAGTTTTAGGGTCTGGTGTTTCACATCTTTTAATGACTGCACAGTGGTGCTGTATAAACTGAACTGATTTGTATGGTGTGATTCACTACCCAAGTAAGCCAGGGTACCAAGTAAGCCAGCTGCTCTTACTTGGTATGAATCTAATGAAGCTCTAATGTGTATTGAAATGGCTTCATTTCAATAGCACTGTGTTACCAGACCACGGTGGCTGCTTTTCTTACTCCCGATATTTTCGGATGAAAATGTAAGGCTATAATATAAGGATCTATTCAGTCACTGTTTGCTCTCTGAATCTGGTTTTATCAGATAAATATGTGGGGTACCACAAATTGGTGGTGTGCTGTTAGTCTATAAACTGATTTGTTCATCATGAGATAAACTTGAAACAGCCTGCCTTTTATTGATTCCATGCTGATGGAAAACTAAAATAGGGTTAGCTGTTTGATCAGAGGCCAGAGCGTAGTCATCAAGACATGAATTCATAGCGGTCTGCCTGGAATTATAAAGATAAGAGTTTTCTATAACTTCATAAAAGGAGGCTGTGGGTAATGGAGACTTAGTGTTAAGAGGGTTCAAACAATGTTAACTTGCTGTTCAATTGTTTTAAGAAGCATGACAATCAGTTTTGCTAAAGTAGAGTGCGGGGAAAGGCAGGATAATATACATAGATGTGTGCACATCTATGTGTTTGTGTGAGTATGAAATTGCTGTCGATAAAGACAGGAACCATGATTGGGTTTGGTTTTCGTGTCTAAATCAAGAAATCTTTACAGACTGAAGTTGGTTTCTTTTTCTCGCAAAACATTGGGCTATCTCAAAATATAATAAATCCCAGTCTTAATCTTCATAAATAAAGTGCTACGTTATTAAAATAAAGTGGGAAATGTCTCCAGTATTCCAAAAATCATGATAGCACTCTTTATCTCTAATGAACAAGCTTCTGCATATTTGCTTTGGAACTGCAGCTAAGACATCTGCATATTGGCATTGAAGCTGCCTGATCTCCCATGTAAAGCATAAACTGTATATAATTGCTGGAAAACAATTGGTTCATGTTATATTAAATATACAGTAGTACCTTGGGTTACATACGCTTCAGGTTACAGACTCCGCTAACCCAGAAATAGTGGTTCAGATTAAGAACTCTGCCCCAGGATGAGAACAGAAATCATGCTCCGGCGGCGCAGCAGCAGGAGGAGGCCCCATTAGCTAAAGTGGTGCTTCAGGTTAAGAACAGTTTCAGGTTAAGAATGGACCTCTGGAACAAATTAAGTACTTAACCCGAGGTACCACTGTATAACTCTCTCTAAGTGTTACACATTTAATATAAACTTTTAGCAAGCGGCTATAATTGTGTTAAAGTTGAAGTCTGGCTGTATGAAAAAGTTTGATGGCTCTACCCTACTTAAAAATTGTGGCAATCCTTTTATTTTTGAAAAACTAACTGCATTTGTTCTGAGCTATGTCAAACAACTTTAAAAGTGTCTGACAAAATAGCAGATGAACTGAAAAATGCTTCAGCTTCAGTAAGACAGGTGGATTTCCAAACAGACACTGGGAGTTGAGTCTTGGAAGGAAGTATCTTCTCTGTCACACCTCCTTAAAAGTTGAAGAAAGGTCTGGACAATAGCTAAGCATAGCTATAGTATAGTATTATACTCCAATTTAAAGTTGTGTGTACTAGTGTATCTAGAAGCTCCTTTGCTTCCAGTGTCTCAGGCTTGGATGGTTGTACCATTGGAATGATTTCCAGTCTCGGAGATTGTTCAAGGTTCCCCATAAAATGCAATAGTCACATATATTGTCAGAGTACTGAGGTTGCTCATTTGCTCCCAAGTCACTATCACTGGGCACCACTGCTTATTTGCGGGCAAACTTACTCAAGTCATTCTTGAAGAGCTGCGCTGTTCATCTGTGGTGGCCAGATAGTGCTGCAAACCATCTTGGGAGGGGGTAGTGCCCCACAAATAAGTTGGGACCTGCATACCCTTCAACTCTAGTTTAGAATTCATTTCATAAGAGGCTATGCTCTAGGTTAACTATTTCAACCTTGCAGATCAGCTTTAAACATTTTGCTTGCCCAGGATAAATGGTTCAAAGTAGGTGTGATGTTGTTTGACTGAGTTTCTTTGTTCTTGGTGAGAACAAATAATCGCCTGCCTGGGTGAGCACCCAAATGTCCAGGTCACACTGCAATTGTTGACTTTGACTGGCAGGAGAACTCAACGCCCAGAACATCCCTGCTCAGGAATCCGCTTGATCCATTGGCTCTAATGTAGTTGGAAAGGTTCGCTGGAGAGCCTGTTACGTGAAAATCCACACCACTGACTTGTTGGGCCTATCGCTTGGCACTAGAGGAGCGATGCTGTTAAGCGTAGTTGTATTCTCCCCATCCTCACCTAACGTCGTCCTACATGATTTATCAACTTGGTTTTCTTAAGAAATATCTATATGTGCATGCTGCATTTTTAAAATGCCTAATGCTCTTTCGCATAACAATATTTATGATGCAGCTTGATAAAAAGCGGGAGTGGGAAATGATGTGCAGAGTGAAGCCAGATGTTGCGAAAGACAGAGAAATGGAGAGAAGCCTTCAGAGGATTGCCACGAGGTAAGAGTGTGTGTTTGGGCTTTTGAAAACAGATCTAAAGGCATGCCTGAGTAATCTGCTTCTAATCAAATTGAACTCTTAAGAAGTGACTCGTGGGAGTCAAATGATTTATACCTAGTTCTGTCTCGTACAGTATCAAGTTCAACAAAAGATTTCAGAAGTCTTATGAAAGCTTAAAATTTGGACAAGACTATAACGTGTTAAGTGTTCGCCCAGCAGGAGTTCTGGGCCTGAGCTCATCGTTTTTGTTAATTCCATACTTAGAAAATACACAGATCAATCACTTCTCCCACTCTTTGTATTTCTCTAAAGTGCATTCACCAAAACTCGCTGTTCTTGCGGTCAGATTACTGTCTTGCATTAACCTAGCGTTGCACCACATGGCTCTGGTCTAGCACATAACCAGTGCATTTTCTTGATCATATCAGTGGGCTTGTTTTTGACATCCTTACCTCCACAGAGACTGCTTTAAAAGCTTGCCTCTGAACTTTGCGTAGGTGGGTGTGCTAAGTCATTGGCTGACTCCTCTGGCATGTCCCAAAACCTAGTGTCACAGTTTTCAGTTTGTTTACTACTTGTTGGTGTTTGACCGAACTGCTTCAGAGTTCCTTTTCCCTTCTGTCATTTTTGCATGCACTGACCCTTGGCAGGAATAAAAGCATTTTGATAATTTTTCCAGTGTGCATATACACACCTGACAGGTTGCATAGACATGCACACAGATACTCTGCCAGTGTGTGCACTCCATGCCAAGAAGAGAGGTTTTGCATGAAGCAAATGCCTTTTCTGTGCTGACTCTGCTTACAGAGCCAAGGTACGTGAGCACATTTGGGTTCTTTGGTTTTTCTGTCCTGGAGGAAGATGCGACTTGCGTCTTGACTTAAGGACAGGAGGATGCAGCTAATAATAGATACTTCTCTCAGACCAAGGGAGATGGTAAAAAACTCTGCTTGAGATTCTTCTGGAATGTGAGGAAGGCATCCACACTTCTTCCAGTAATTGCTAAAAAGTGGGACCAATAACTTTTACTAAGTCTTTTCTCAAACTGGGTGCCACAGAAGGCCACCTGGTTCCCAGAAACAGGGGGAAAGTGAAGAGGCACTAAAACAATAGGGGAGGTGACCCCTACAGTGCACTGAAAATATGCTGTATATGAATTAAGCCCAGTGTTCTTCGAGAACAGTTACCCAGGGGCACTATAAAAGAAGGGGAGGAATCCTGCGCATCCATATAAATAGTTTCAGGAATAAGACATTTTTATAGGCCATCTGACAGGTACTGTAAATTACTGAGAATAATTTCACGCAACCTACTGGACAAAAGTGTTGGAAATGAGGCTTAGTTCTGTCACAGCAAACAGTACTCAAACCAAAATCACTAACACAAAATGGGCATCAACAGCCTGGTTCATAGGACACTTTGCCAATGGTAGGAATAATCCTTGCTTTTTCGTCATTTTTTGGTGGCGATGCTGGTCTGTGCATTTGGTTAAGGCTACAAGCAAGCCTGAAGATAACTGATGCTCACGACACGCAAGTAGCATGGGATTGCGAAGTCTCTAAATTAGATTTTCCTTAACATGATGCTACTCTCCAAGCGCAAACTGTAGTGTGGTGTGAAACTGGGCTTAGAATGTTTACTGGGTGCTTGAAGGAGTGCACATTGCTGCCGTCACAAATTGTGGGCCAAGATCTCTTAGCCTTTGGGTTGGTGACTGCATGCAGTGTCTTTACATTTCACTGTTCTTTGACTTTACGAAAAGTGCATAATTTGGATCCCTTTTGGCTTTTGAATGGTGTCTTAAACCCACTTGCGTTCTGACATATTACCCTGATTCCTCTTGTCGTTATCTCATGTGTCTGGCGCAGTGGGGCTGAGGAGACGGTTTATCAAAGCCATGCTACCTAGCAGGTGTGGCAATGAAACAACAGGTGCCTAACCACTCCTCCTTTCATCTACCAGGGGCGTTGTTCAGTTATTTAATGCTGTCCGGAAGCATCAACAGAACGTCAGTGAGAAGGTGAAAGAAGCAGGGAGTTCCGAAAGAAAACGGGCAAAATTGATCTCGTCTGTTTCAAAGAGAGACTTTATCAATGTATTAAGAGGAATGGAAGGGACGGAAACAGAGCAAAATGCTTCCAGGAAGACCTTGAAAAGCAAACAGGTAGGCACCACTTCTTGGAGCAGTTGTTCTAATGTGGCAGAGTGAGCCATTCAACTTGCGTGTTTGTGTAATTTTGCTCTCCTGGCTTCAAATGATTATGGAAGTTCTTCAGTGTCAGGTACGTTACTGCTGCAGTACCCCCGACAGATGGCAGTCTAGCTTGGATACCTCCAGGAAAGTAAAGCCCACCACTTCCCAAGGCGGTCTAGTCCACTCTCGAAGAGCTCTTACAGTTTCAGTTGCTAAGGTTTTCCCTAAACAAAGTCCTTATCTCGTTCACATTTTTGTTTTGCCCTCCTTGGGGTCTGGATAGTGTTGAATGGGCTTGGTGGGGCAATGGAGCTTAGAAGAACACAGCCATTGACACCAAATGCCCCACTGGAAGTCCCCACTTCACATTTTCAATAGAGTCCTGTGTATCTTCCTTTGCAGGATCTTAAGGAGAGATGAACGTATTCAGTACTGCTAACTTTTTGGTCCTTCAGTGTTCAGTCTTGGATAGATTATTTTTTTCTGGGAAATGGTATTGAAATTTGAGTTAGAAACTACCATATTTTTCGCCCTATAGGATGCACTTTTTCCCCTCCAAAAATGAAGGGGAAATCTGTGTGCGTCCTATGGGGCGAATACAGGCTTTCGCTGAAGCTTGGTGCGCACCGACCCCTCTTGCTCTCCAGGCTTCAGGAAGCTATCAGCAAGCCTGGGGAGCCCGCAGGAGTTCCCGCAGGGCTCCCCAGGCTGCGGATAGCAGCCTGCCGCCCGGCGCGCAAGGCGCCCTGAAGCAGACATCCGCAGCGTGGGGAGCCCTGCGGGACCTCCTGCAGGGCTCCCCATGCTGCAGATAGCAGCCTGCCGCCCGGCGCGAGAGGCGCCCTGAAGCAGAGCGCCCCTCGCACTGGGCAGACATCGGGCGGCCCCACAAGCTCGGGGGACAGCGGGGAGGTGGAGCGCCGCCATACCATTGTTCCCCGACCTGGTTTTGGGGGGGAAATAAAGGGGGGGGAAATTCCTTTATTTCCCCCCTAAAAAACCAGGTGCGTCCTATGGGACGAAAAATACGGTATGTCAGCACTTGCAGGAAACCTTGGCTCTCTCATCTTGGTTGAAAAGGAAAAATGAGATCTTAGGCAGCGTTGTTCTTGCTCCAAGCTACCATCTCTGCTTTCAAGTGGTCCACTTTATGGTGCTGCCTATCCCCTATTGTCCTTCTCTGCACATCTTTGTGACAGGCATTGGCTGAGTTCAGGCATACTGCCAAGCCATAGTTAGGAAGCCAAACAATGGTTCTTATCTGAATTGTTTCTTATTTGCTCATCATCCAGTTTCATAAGTTCACTCCCATCTCCATCTGCAGTAGCCTCATGAGCTGGAACAGCTTATCAGTGATCTGTCAATTCAAACATAAAAGTATACCACAGCTTATCCTAGCTTCAAGCCATGCTTTGAGTTTGATAGCTCCAAATGTGAGTAGGCTCACATTCAGACATTATGGAACTACAGTTTAAAATAAGCAAATCATGGGTTTGTGTTGTGTATCAACCCAGCCTATGTCAACCACTCTTGCTATGGATACTTGACTGATGGTCCATTGATCTGAACCAGAAGGACTGTTTACATTCGGTATATTAAGACTGTTGAAAACTTGAAATGACTGGTTGGAGGTTAGAAATTCTGTCTTTCCTACGTTTCATCTGGTACTTACCATTATGGTGGTACCTCTGGATGCAAACGGGATCCGTTCCAGAGTCCTGTTCGCATCCTGAAGCGAACACAACCTGCATCTGCGCGGGTCACGATTTGCCGCTTCTGCGCATGCGCGTGATGTCATTTTGAGCACATGCGCAAGCGGCAAAACCCGGAAGTAACGCGTTCCGTTACGTCCGGGTTGCCGCAGAGCGCAACCCGAAATTGCTCAACCTGAAGCAACGTCAATCCGAAGTATGACTGTATCTGTGGTGGGCTTGTGAATGACTTGGTTCTGGGGCTGACCTCAGACCTCAGAATGACATTTGTTCACACTGGTTTGAATCAGGGAGAGATTTTTATCTGCAGTGTTTTAGTTTTCATTAAAAGTTCTGTCGAGTTACCTGTGTTCTAGCCTAGCTGCAGGGTTACTGCTGACACAAGAATTCCTTCTGAGAGGAATCTGCTTTTAAAAAGTCGTTCAAGGGCAAAGATGTTGGATCAGTCAGATTCGAAAGGCAGCAGGACTTGGGGTTTCGGAATCTAGAATTTCAGAAGCTGCATGTTTATAATGCATATTTGCGTTCATGCTTGAACTTTGTGCTCGCTAGTGGGTGGAATACTTCTCTTGGCCCCATTCCACTGGAGTTAACTAAGCGCTTTCCTGTGCCAGCAAGAAATACTTTAATCAGTTGGGAGACAACAGTTTGTCATGCGTTCTTTGTTTAGTGTGCTTTCGGGAAGCATGCCGAAACACTCCGTGGCATGAAGAACCCTCTGAGTTTCACGCAAGTGTACAATTAAAGTATTTTAAAAATTCATTGGGTAATAAGAGTAACTTAGACTGTCGCCAAGTGTTCCATTTCTCCTTAAATCTGTCCGGCTTGCTTGATTTCAAAGGCTGGAAAAATTAGAATAATAAGCTTGATGTTGTAATAGAAGCTCTCCAGCGCTGCTGTTCGTAATCTGTTGGTACACAGAAACTTAAAACTGACTTACAGGGCGTGTTGCATAGCTAGCACTGCGGTCAGAGCTGGTGCTTTGGTTGCTGACAGAGCAGGTCTTGTCACTAAACATCATTGAGGTTGGGTGGGAAGGCAGACCAGGAGCTACGTGGAAGTAAGGAGGGGGTAATATGCAAGCGTGGCCTAGCCAAGGAGAACGAAACCCATGCCATTATGGTATATTGGGGGGGATGGGGACTGGGCAGGCTCCCATTTGGGAGGGTCTTCACTCTCCTTTTGCCTGGAGTACTTGCAGAATGAGAAGAGAACAAGCTCCTCTTCCCTTGAGAAGTCTAGTCTGTGTGTATGTGTGTGTTCAGTTTTACTGTGGGTTAAATGGAGACTGTGCACAACTCGGCAGCACATTCAGGTGTGCTGTGCACGGCATCTAGCCAATATGCACAGTTGCCAGGCAGAGACTCCTGTGGTTTGACTCGGCCCCGTACATATTTTACCTGTGGAACTGATGAACGAAATGGGTGCTGGAGGACATCTTGCTTCTGTACGGCTGAAATGTCCTGGTTGTCTTTTTGCATGGTAAAAAGTACGATGTGGGGTGTTTGGTTCTCTCCCCACCCCCACCCCCCGCCTGGTAGGTATTTCAGAAAATCAATTTTGGATGGGAGAAGCTTTTGTCAGCTTTCCAAACCTAACATCTGATACCTTCCCCTCAACCCCTTAGTTGAAATAATGTTATAAAGCTGGTGGGGAGGTGTGCAAAATCCTGGATTTTTAGATCATATGCATTTGCGGCAAAATCTGTCTTTATAGTAATGCCTTGGTATTTGTGGCTATTCTCTCCTCTTCTCTCCCCCCCCCCATTTTCACTTCCTGCAACTTTTTGAACTCTAAATCTCTTCCTACTATTCAACTAAACCAACTCTTGGGGGGGGGGGGTTGCCATGTGGCTCTCAGTCAAGGCTGGCTTTGGTTTTGCTTTTGTTCCCCACCCTTCACCTTTTAAAGAAATAAATGGGAATTGACATGTTCAGCATCAGGTAGGAACTTGACCTCAGAACACAAATATTTGTGGATGGAGGTATTTTGGGGACATGCATATTAAGCGTTCCTTCCTTGTGGATTTCTGCAGCCTTTATGTGACAGGTAGGTTGTTAATGCATCTAAACTCTTGAGTGGAACTGCGAAAGATGGAATTTGCATGAATATCTCCAGGGTAATCAGTCTGCAATGGAGAAGTACTGTTTCAATGTATTAATTGGGGGGGGGGGAGAGGTGGGTTATGAAGCTCGATTGTGGCCATAGATCAGAGAGAGGTGGGGAACACAAAGTTTCCTCTAGCTCCGTGCAATGAGTAGATGTCAGAACTGTGCACATTTTTATGCCGTGCATTGCCAAAAGTGTGCACCACCACTTTGTGTCCTTTTGTTGGTGTGGGAATGCCTGCAAATGCATGGTTACAGTGGTGCCCCGCAAGACGAATGCCTCGCAAGACGAAAAACTCGCTAGACGAAAGAGTTTTCCGTTTTTTGAGTTGTTCCGCAAGACAAATTTCCCTATGGGCTTTCTTCGCAAGACGAAACGTCTTGCGAGTTTGTTTCCTTTTTCTTAAAGCCGCTAAGCCGTTAATAGCCGCTAAGCCGTTAATAGCCGCTAAGCCGCTAATAGCCGTGCTTCGCAAGACGAAAAAACCGCAAGACGAAGAGACTCGCGGAACGGATTAATTTTGTCTTGCGAGGCACCACTGTATTAGGTTTCTAAACTGCTTTGAGCATCTCTCTCTCTTTTAACCTGGCAAGTCCAGCTTTGGAAAACAAGTCTTAATTGAACTTGAAATGTTTTGATTGAACTTGAAGAATGAATGCTCTGGTAGGCCAAATTGTAAGTGTCGATATTCAAGGCCACAGGGAAGGAATCTTATCAGTTCCTACGCTATGGTAGCTTAAGGTCAGCCACAGATCATTCAGAAGCCCTCGTCATGAAGAAAGTATTTATTTTGCCTCTCCGCTATGACACTGCCTACTCAGCAGCACACACCGTAGCCTGAACAGTCGTGTGGGCAGCAGATGTGCTGCTGAACAAACCTTGAAACGGAGAGCAAGACCTCTCCAGTGCCTGCGATTCCATATAGCTCTCCTAAGTAACTGCATGCTGCAGGTTAGAACTGCTTTGCTTGTGCTCAAGCATACACCATATCTCACCATGTTCTCAAAGTGGCACATGTGATCCTTAGTGAATAGAGCATGCTGTAACACAGAATTCTTCAACCTTGGGCCCTAGACGTTGTTGGCTTCGAACTCCTATGATCCACGACTAGCTTTGCCCAGCTTTCAAGGATGATGGGAGTTGTCCCACACCATCTGGGGACCCAAGGTTGAAGAGAGCGGCACAAGCAGGGTCTGAAGTAGTTGAACACCAGCCTTGCCACCTAAGTGCCTTGTTTTTTCTTTAATAGAGGAATTTAATGCCGTGGAGGGTACATTCCTAGGAAGGGTTTGTGGTACATCTTCCTCGCTACATTGTGAGCTGGATTTTTTTGATCTTTTGGAAGCTTTTGGAGTTCTACAACTGCAAAACAACAACAATAATAATTTTTTAAAATAATAAATTTTATTTATACCCTGCCCTCCCCAGCCAAGACCGAGCTCAGGGCGGCTAACACCAGGTATACAAACAATTGATTAAAATATAACTTAAAAACAAGATTAAAATGCAGCCTCATTTCAGTAGAAACTCAAATCCAAAACTTTTTGGGGATGAAAATGTCAAATCTTCAGCAAGGCCAACTATCCAGACTGGTCCTATGTGGGCCAGAAAAAAGCCAGGGAAGTCCCCAAATAGGAGTTCCATCACAGAAGGAGAAAGGAAAAAGGAAAGATGGAAGGCAGATCTTTACATGAAGCAGAATAAGGTGGTAAAGTCCCAAAGTTTGGGAAGTGTGGGAAGTTTCCCTGCCTAAAATTGTATGCAGCTAGAAAGCCAGCGTTTTGTGTTGGGGGGCGGGGGCGGAGAGACCACAGTTTGATTTCCTTCCCCACCTCTGCTTACAATCTGATACCATCTTTATCGTGCCACCTAATTTTGCTGCCTGTGCTGATCCTGTGCATGCTTGTTCACGTTCACCAGCAGAGAAGGGTTTTCCTATCGCCTGTCTCCTCTACAGCTCCAGTGAGGTTTCACGGTCTGGTGTTTGAAAACTTGTTCATGCTTCTTTAAAAACTGTAGCCCTCTCTGCAGATTTTCTGTGCTCAGATGGGAGTAATTATTTTTTTGAACGGGATCCAAGGACTTTGCCTTTCATATCATTAACGGTTTATCAAAGTATTTCTTAATCCTCGCTGAACCTGCTGACTTTTGTAATATATTTTTTTCTCTCTCCAAGGTACATAATGCTTGTTTCTGGGCAGGATCTTGTGGTCTCTGCCCCCTTCCCATCTTCCTTATCTGGAAAGCCTGCTTGGGGAAGGCAGCGGGGTTTGTTTGTGCTGTGCTACTTAGAGTGTGGTAGCAGAGAGGGGTGGCAGGCTTGGAACATTTGTATTCCCAGCGTTGAGTTGAGTTATTCTGAGCATGGCCTCTCACAGAGACATAATGGGGACTTAAGTCCATTGAGTCTACTGTATCTTTATTGGATATCCCCCAGTACTTGAAGAGTTTTATCTCCACCACTCCAGTGCCCACTGTAGGGCCAGCCAGGAATACCAACCCTGCCTTGGACCCCTTTGCACAGGGAGTACTAAGATACAATCTTCTGGGAGATAGAGGATGAGCACAGCGTGGTTTTGGAGGGAGATAATGCAAGAACTTGGCAGTGGAGAAAGAAGAGGGGCAGGCTGTGCCATAGCATTGATTTCTACACTTCCCCTCTTCTACTGAGGCTAGATGCAAGATTCAGAGAGCGTCTCCCTCCCTACTGGTCAGGATCTTCCTCCCTTGTTCATCATAATTCATCCCCTCTGCAATTTGGAAAAGTTTGTGTTTTTGCTCCCTTTGCTCCTGCAGTTGTGTTGTACGTCAGTATCTGCATATCTGCACTCTGTAGTCAGGCTGCGTCCAAGTCCGCACTAAGGAGACAATTGGGGAGAGGAGCAGTTACAAAGCTCCTCTGTGCTTTTAAAAGTTTGTTTTGCGAAGTGTAGCTGAACCTCATATATCCTAACAATTGTGCAAAAGTGGAGGTGCCTCTGCTGGGTGTCTCTGCTAGAAGCACTGTAGCTGCTTGTCTGCATACCAGAATCTCCCTCTGCTATTATAATATATGAGCTAGGGAGATGTTTGGAACTTGTTAGGTAGCCTGAAGAACAGGACTGCATTGTAGAAACTTGCAAGAGAAAAAAGCGTATTAAATCATAGTGGTGATAAATCAACAATTACATGATCTGTTTTGTGCATGTGTTCATATGTAATGCATGACCTTAAATTAACAACCAGTACTATCCATTGTGTTGAAATATCTTGCAAGGGGAACTCGGGTTGTTACCTTATTTCCCCCGGTATTACTGCCAGAATGGTTTTTTTGTTTAAATATAGCAATGGTATATAAAACAACTTGGAACAACCTGCGATACACACCTTTTGATCTAGTACATGCATTATGCACAGACATCCAAAATCTCTAATTCAATTAGGACTGCTTTATTGAACTTTAGAAGCATGATAGTCACATATATTTTATTTGAGTTTTAACTTGACAGTATTATACTAACAGCTTCCGTTATTCCTGTGGTCATGATTGTCTTGAATGCTAATTCACCTGAGCTATCTCTCATTTAGGCTCCCCTAACCCTAAGCTGGGACGCGGGTGGCACTGTGGGTTAAACCACAGAGCCTAGGACTTGCCGATCAGAAGGTCGGCGGTTTGAATCCCCGCGACGGGGTGAGCTCCCGTTGCTTGGTCCCTGCTCCTGCCAACCTAGCAGTTCAAAAGCACGTCAAAGTGCAAGTAGATAAATAGGTACCGCTCCGGCGGAAAGGTCAACGGCGTTTCCGTGCGCTGTTCTGGTTTGCCGGAAGTGGCTTAGTCATGCTGGCCACATGACCCCGGAAGCTGTACGCCGGCTTCCTCGGCCAGTAAAGCAAGATGAGCGCCGCAACCCCAGAGTCGGCCACGACTGGACCTAATGGTCAGGGGTCCCTTTACCTTTACCTTTAACCCTAAGCTGTCTTTTACATTGAAGCTGAAAATGGCACCATTCAGATCTTTGTTGAGTCATGTTGTTGTGGACTACTGTAACCATAGTAAATTCTGAAATATAAACTTCCCAAGCTTTCGTTAGGTATCATTTTAATTCCAAATTGACTTCTAGCTTTGGGCTCCGTTGTATAGATAGACAACATGCCTTTTTCTTGCAGAATGTTGCCTCCAAATTTCTTCAGGGTCATAGAAATGTGTTCAGCAATGTGGAGTGAAAGGCCTTGGTAGTGAAGGTGTGACTTTACCCCCCTACTTCTTAAGAAGGTGGTCAAGAAAAGGCCTTTTCTGGCAAACCAGTCAGAAGAAGATGGGAAGGAAGGAAGATGTCTTTCTCTTCCCCTGCTCCTTAGCTTGTAGTGCATCGAGCTGTGTGTGTCCTCGTTTATGAGACTTTGCACCCACCATCCTCTTGCTTTTCAGTAGCCAGCCTGTTGCTATCAGAGCCTCACGTTTAACCATCAGTAAGCAATGCACCTTGGGAAGCAGTTTTGATTTTATTGTGTGTGTGTGTGTGTGTGTGTGTTTGTGTTTGTGTGCCTTATTGAGCTTGCATCTTAGTAACAACCTGGAAGGATCATAGAGGCTTTGGAATTAACTGGCCAAGCGCAGTCCAAGCCCTTTTATATGGTCCATATCACACTTTAGGAATTGGTACAGAATGACCAGGATTTGGCAGGCTCTTCTCCAGGGAGGCCAGGGGCTAAGCTAGCATAAAAATGGATTCTTTCCGATAGACGGTGTGATCTTTCCAGGTCGGGATTAAGATGTTCAGCAAAGCATTACGCCTTTGTTAACCCTACCTGGCTCATGAACAGAGAATTTAGACCCTAGTACTGCCAGTCTCTCAACTGGCTCTGCACATATTCCCCTAATAAGGAGTGCATTCTTAAAAGTAGGGGGAATTCTACAGAGAATCTTGGTCTATTGAAAACATCTCAAGTTTAGTGATGCAGATTTAAGTTAATAAGTATTTTTTTTCTTTATGGAACAATGAAGCTTTTCTGCCCCAGTACTAATTGTATATATTTTCAAACATGGAATCCCAGGGGTGGAACAGCGCTGAACACTGGTGGGTCACATGGAAATTATCTGGCAATGTTGCAAATCTCATAGAGCCATGGGACTGAAAAGGATAATTAGGACGCTGCTTCTAAGGCCCCTCCAGGTTAATTTGCAGATGCAGTTTGCCACTTGTCTGCTCATTGAGTTGTAGTTTGAAAGCCATTGTAGCTGCTGCTGTTGCTGCTTAACTGTATTTTCTTTGACGTGACTTTATGCATGCTCATTTCTATAATTCTACTGCCATTTTGTTGTTCAAAGTAAAGTTCTGTAAGCTGGAAAGCAGTCTAGTTGTTTTTTTTTATAAAATATTTATTGAAATTTTCAAAGTGTTACAACATAAAATAAAAGCAGAAGAAAATACAAAATAAAAATAGTTAACAAAGTAGAAAAAGAAAAAAAAACCCTTCCAACCATACGAATACAAATTCAAAAATAAGAAAAAAAGACACGAAAAAAAACAAAAATACAATTTAAGAACATTTAAAAACAAATTCATTATTCTCGAATCCTCAACTGTCATTACCTTCTTTCTTTGACCTCCTCCTCCTCCCTTTCTTTGTATCCTAGTTATTAATTATCCCAGCAAATCCTTTCCATATTTCATAATATTCTGTCATTACATTACAGTTTTAATCTTATCTTTCTATAAGAAAATAAACCTTAAAGCTTAAAACTTAAATCTTATCCTTACCAACTTCTCATAACCATAATATTCTTTCATAATTCTTTAAACATCTTTACTAAAGCCGAGTAATTTCATTCCAACATTTTTCTGACATTCATCAATTTTATAAAACAGTTCTAATGGTAGAAAAAGGAAATACAAACAGATCCAATCTTCATCCAACGTCCCTTCCTCCTGGTTCCGGGTTTTGTCAGTCCTTATTATCCTATCGATCTGGCCCATTAACCTGGCAACCTTATATCCGAGGCCCTCAAGTCTCTTCCATGTCCCTTTCGCAGCTCTTCTTCATATTTGTAACTGTATTTTCCCTTGTCTCCTGCTCGTGGTAACTCCAGCTTGGCAATATTTTTAACCCTTCTTGACAGATCAGCCCCTTTTCCATATTCAGCACTGAATTCCATATGGTATTTAGAAGCATGTTTCAAAGACCCTCCAAAATTAAGAGCCCCCACAATGCCAAACATCTCATGGCCCATTGCCAGATTTGAAAAGTCCAAACATCCCAGCATCAGGGGGTCAATCCAGTCCCCCATTTCCAAGCCAAACCAAACCTTTTCTTTCCAAATCTGGCTTTTTCCAAGTTCATTTGTCAAATCCGAAAACTCATATTCCTGTTGGGCCTGTTCTGTCAGGACACACTCCTGATTTAATTCCTGGGTGGGCTCCACATATTTACCCACTGTCTGTTCAAAATTTCCCACTGCCTGTTCAAAATTTCTAGTCGAAGTCGTCATCAAATTCACCTTCTCATGTAACTGTTCCAGTAGGGCATTTGTTTTGTAGAAAGCACACAACAAAGCTTCTGAATACATTGTCCTGCAAGGTCAAATGCCTATTCCCACGATTGTAATCTGTAAACAGCTGCCGGCTCCCTGGAGTTGGTTACAGTTTCACAGTCTCCCTCTAGGGGGAAAACTTCTGTTTGATCTTGCAACAAAGTTTCCCTTTTTGAGATACTTTGTCAATATTTGTTCCTTTGAAATGCGAAGGGAAACAGTGGAATCACTATGTTTCTCTTCTTTTAGCTATCTGTCAAAAACGTTTGTCTCTGGTCAATGAACTTCAAACGTCAGTCCTGACACCCCGCTCCAGGATCAGGACGTAGGAAAGTTGCTTTACTTTAAACTCACTTTAAACAGTCCAAAAAAGATCCCCCTTCTTCTCCTGCTGTCGAAGTGGGGTTCCACAATTTTAAATGATGAAATCCAATCCTTTAAAAGCGATTTTCTGAGCTCTAGTTTACGTTGTCTTTGCTTTATTCTGTCTACAGAAGAATGGAAGGCTGACTTCCTGTTTAGACCTTCCCGTTCCGTACCAAATTGAAATAGATTCTTAAGATCCAATTCCTTTCTGCTCGCAAGTCCCCATCTAATGTCCAGTTGTTCAAAGTCTAAGTACTCACGGGTGCTTATTTTAGAGTCCAAATTGTCCCAGGAAAAAGGCAGCGCTCTCCGGCAACGGCTATGCGGCTTCGCTCCACGAAAATAGCAGTTGACTCACAGCACCGCACCACTTCCCCCTCTTCACTTCGGAGCCCGTTAGTGGGTTCCTTAGCGAGTTGGGGGGGCGCTAAAGGTGCCCGCCGAGTCCCATGGTCACAGGCTTCATCCGCCTGTGATTTTTGAAAGGGTCCCCGCTTCGCCGTAGCGGAGAAGACCCGTTTCCCACGGAGCTAGTCCCTTCAGTTCAGAGGGAGTCCGCCATTGCCGATGGCGCCACCCCGGAAGTGGGAAAGCAGTTTAGTTTTATCCCTGTTTACTCAGAAGCAAATCCCGTCAATCTGTTAGTGCCCTGGAATTCAGCAGCTTGTACTGGGGCAGTGGAGGCTGATTCTGTAGGGCCAGTGGGGCACTGCCCCACCAAACACATTCTGCCCTCAATTTCTACCTGCCTGCCTCCTTGCAACCAGGTCAAGGGGTTGGCACTGCCCATCAGCATCCTGCTCCTTGGGCTTAGTGTTAATTTTGTAGAGGAGGAAGCAGGGAAAACCAGGGCATGAAACACTACTGGACTGGAGGTTGGAAAACATGAGTTATTTGCCCATTTTTAATGTATGTGCTGAATATCTGACCTGATTAAATGAGCCGCCACTGACATGTACCAGTGCATAAACCAAGGGTGATGGTCTTGGGTTGCTGCTGAATCCTGAACACCAAAAATGGAAGAGTCAGCAGCTGGAGAGGAATAGTATTGGAAGCAACTGAATCGTAATTGGGAATACTCATCTGTCAGTTGGATTGTGCAGTTTCTGTCCACATACATTTAAAGCAGCATGGTGTGAGAGTGACCATTTCCTCCATGTCAAAGAACTGCTATAGAAACTGTGCACATTCCAGCTGATAAGGAGTGAATGTGGTCAGGGAAAAACTCTGTCATAAGCAAGGTAGATGGGATGAAACTGGGAGTAAGTAAGGTTGCACACAAAGGCCTGATGTTAATTGTGGTGTCCACCATCTGTATCATGCTTTAGCTTGCCCTGCCAGATCAGACAAAAGACCTGTCTATCAAAGCATCCTGTTTCCTACAGTGGGAGACTAGATATTTTGGGAAAGCACCCCAGGCGGGCAATGAGCACGATATCCCTGACTTGCTACAATTCCCTAGTGACTGGCATTCAGAGGCAGCCTTCCTCTGATCCTAGAAGTGCTGTATGGCCCATTGATGCCCTCCGTGCATGTTTCTGATTAAGTGCTGGGCTTAAGCTTGCAGCAGCTTCATCCTTGGTCAGTGTCAACCTGAAGCATGCGTTTATTCGCCTGGTTTGAAACAGAACCCAAGTGAGGCTGTTAAATATTGGGTGTACATGGAGACAGGTTGCCTTCCTTGGGTGGTCCCCCAGCAAAGACTCAGAACTCGAACCTGTAATTCCACAGCTCTGTGGCTAATTAAAGCAGGACAAACACAACACTTCTGTGTGCTGGAGATGAAGTTATCCAGAATAGAATGGAGACCAGGTGCTGTAAACAATTCTCTGCGATGTTTGCTTACTGGGAACGCTTTCCAGCAGCTGTAGCAGAGCCTCCTGATTAAGAGCTGCTGATGGGACTGTGGGTGTTCAATTGTGTACATCATTTTTCACATTTGTGTTTTGAAGCCAGTATAACTTGCTGCTTGGGTTTTGTTCCAAGACAGCAGTGGCCAATTCCATCACCCACCCACCAATTGAAATTGCATTCTGCAGAGAGACTGGAGTTTATTTTCAGTATGGCTCTCAACTGACTGAAGCCTTTTTTTAATGATTTATCACTTGCCTTTGCTTAAATCTAAATGCATTTTGCCTATTTCCAAAGCTGTAATGCCCCTTTGAGGCCCTAGAGGGATTTTTGTTTCTTCATCGTAGAGATTCTAAATGACCTGATAAACCAAAGTTGCCACATGAAAGAAATAGTTGTCTTTAATATTCCTCCTCATTTTGGGGACCTGGGATGTACAGTAATTATTATAGTAATGCACCAAAGTGAAAATGGCTTAAGAATGAAGCAAGTTCAAGGCCTATCAGCCAGCATTAGGGAACACTTAAATGCTGTATTGCCATTGATTCCCACTGCCTGCTGTTTGCTTCAGTTACCTATTTTTACTAAGGAGGGGGGTGGGTGAGGGAGGTCAAGTTTGTTCCTGATGTGCAATGTACATGGTAGCTACAAATGCAGATGGGAAGGAAAAGCCATCGTAAGATTTCCTTTAAATCTCTTTTTGCTATGGAGAGCTGCTAAGTCGATACAGCTGGGAAAGCAATGCCCTTTTCAGTCTCAGTCCCACTGATTCATAGGGAGCTTAAATGTTCAAGCCAGCAGCGGTTGTATTTAGCCATTCTTAGTATATAGCATTCTCTCAATGTCCCCGCTGATGTCTTTGCCTATCAAAAACTTGATTTGTTTTTACATCCAAAGACTGCTCATGCCATCAAGAATTAAAGCGGGGGAAATGGGTAGAAGCTCACTTGTGCTGTGGTTTGGCAAACTCAGTGACAGGAGAATTCCTAGGTAAATTCTCAGCTTCAAAGTTTGGCCACGATCCTGTGCAAGGCCAAATGAAGATTTTACATACCTAACTAGACAAGTCACAAGCCCACCCCCCAAAAAATTTTTTGGGGGATGAAGATTTGAATGCTTTCCAATGATTGGCATTCAGCCACCCTGTAAAAATTGCAGTGCCCCAACTGGGGCTGGTTTTATTGCCTCCAAAGGGTTGTCTTGTCTCTATTTTTATTTTACTAATTGAGCTTGGACTGCCAATATGTTTCTACTAAATGGAGATTAGTTTGCCCTGGTAAATGAGTCCTCAGAGTAATGAGCAAAAAGCTGCTGCAAAACATGTTTACTTGTAAGTCCTTTTGATTTCAGTACAAGAGCTTAAGTTTGCCGTTTCTAAGAAGTATTTCTCACATACACGTTGGACTGGTTGGGAAGCAACAACAAACAATGGTTTGTTATGAGCACCAGTCTTGGGATTTCGGCCTTCCATTGTGCTCTGTGTGTATTGGGAGAAGAGAGGTAAAGCTTCTGCTTCTGGTGTAGAAGAAACTGCAGTTTGTTCCACCAGAAGCTGGCCTTTGCTGCAAGGATAATGTTAGGAAATAAGACAAGAATATCCAGTCTCCATTGAAATTTTGCATGCTTTGATGCCTAGTAAATGACAACTTGTTGAAAACATGAACAGAGATGAGACACTGCACCTAAGCACCAAATGAAATTTACATTTTATTTTTTTGCTTTGCACCAATGAAGCAAATGTGGAAGACCAGTCATCTTCTTTTCTGGGTGGGTGAGGAATTTTGCACACTATTCCTTCAGCCGTATGATTGTATCATTCTTATTACAAAAATGCAAAAAGAAGTGCCTATGTAGGTGTGGGGTTTTGTGAATATACACCTCTCTGCACTGCTGTGCCAAGATACGGATTGTTTTGGCTTCTCAGGAATGTGCCATTTTTGGAAGGCAAGGAATGTAGGCCTTGGCTTAATAAGGTAGAATTAAAGTTGCGTCATGTTGCAGGTGCCAGGAATAAGTTTGTTAGAGGAAGTTGGATTCTGGCATTAGATAATACGTTTTTGCAAAGGGAGAGTCGATGTGAGCTAATTGCTAATCATGTAGACAAGGACCTTATTGTGTTCTTTGGACTCTTTCTCTTCTCTTTTAGGAGAACTGGGTCAGAATCGATTCACATGTTGGCCCATGGGCTGAAGTCAATGAGCACATCAGATGTGCTGATTTGTGTTTGTGGGCTTTGAGTTTTAAAAATATGTTAGGTGGTCTTCTCTATCTATGGGTATCCTCCCACAATACAAGTTTTCCATATGGCTGTCACTTCCATGTAGAAAATCACATATACTCTTCATATACACAGTGATGTATGAAAAGTGCATATGTCTATTTTGCTATGTAGATGTGCAGAAACTCAGGACTTCTCACTGTACATATAGCAGATCAGTGTTAGAAATTCATATATATAAGCTAGATGCCAAATAGCTCCTTAAACCAAGGTTACAGTCACCAAAATAGAATGTCTCTTGCCATTTGGGGGCAAGACAGCTCTAAAGACTTATTTTTCAAATGTTTGACTGACTGTGATTGATTATCAGTTAAACATCTGGCTACTTCAGATGACAACCCTTGAGAACTAAAAGAAGAAAAGCCACTTTATCCAGGGACAGTCCACATATCTATTGGCCTATTCCTACCCCCTTCTTCTTAATGGTAACACAGACAATTCATAGTATAAGGATATTCTTCACAACTGTGAGCAGGGGCTGGGGTAAGTGAAGACAAGATACAACAATTTCACTATAATGTTATTTGCTGCTCCTGCTCAGGCTGCACAGAAAAAAGCATTTTGGTTTCTGAAATTCATTCTGATTGTTCAGATAAAAATATACAGTGGTACCTCGGGTTAAGTACTTAATTCGTTCTGGAGGTCCGTTCTTAACCTGAAACTGTTCTTAACCTGAAGCACCACTTTAGCTAAGGGGGCCTCCCGCTGCCGCCACATGATTTCTGTTCTCATCCTGAAGCAAAGTTCTTAACCCAAGGTACTATTTCTGGGTTAGTGGAGTATGTAACCTGAAGTGTATGTAACCTGAAGCGTATGTAACCCGAGGTACCACTGTAACTAGTAGAATTCTACAGGATGTGGTATTAGGGTGTGAAAACAGTCCAGATCCATTGATCCCCAGGCAGGCACCTCCAGATGGTGGAGATGCAAGAGCCAGGTGAAGAATGCGCCTGGTGCCTGGCTGATTTCATGCATACATGTGTGCACCCATCAAACACTAGACACATGAGATCTGTGCTAGTTTCCACCCTGCAGGAAAGAAAGGAAGTGATCTTAATGGTGATGGGGCTTGGTTAGGAGGGAGTGTTACAGCTTGACAATGGTTCTTGGTAATAGCAAGAACTCTCTTGGTGGGTCTGTGTAAGCCTCAAAGCTTACCAAACCAATCCATAGAATTAATTACAATTGGAACCTAACAATAATTGTAAAGAATGCTATTTAATAGTGGGATGTGAGGGGCAGGGGAAAGGAAGAATGCAGATGGGTCTGGTTTTTGGCAAATTTACATCCTTCTGGAGCAGTCATGGATATGAAGTATTTCATTAATACTTACCTTTAAGTATTATATCCACTATACCTGCATACCAGGGAACTCAACGAGACTTGGGAATTTCTGATTAGATGTGGTTAGAATTATGCTGTTAGTTTGATGTTGAACACGGCTGAGCTGTATTTAATAGGACTGAAAACGAATCATAACTGTGGATCTCTCTGTAAATTTTCTTTGGTAAATGTTTATTAAAAAGAAAGCGCTAAATGCCTTGTTGATGCAGTAGCACTGCAATCCTATATGTGTCTATCTAGAAGTAAGCTCCATTGAGTTCAGTGGGATTTATCCCCACGTAATTGTATATAGGAATGCAAACTAAATTTGTTAAGCCACAGGACACGTTTAGCTTTTGCTGCAAAGGCTATCATCGCTGTTCTGGTATGCTACTGCTTGAATTGTAGCCACCACAAAGTGGTGCTGTTGCACTGTATAAAATGTCCTTTTTGCTTCTTCATTCTCAAATAACGGACAACTAGTGAAGTTCTAAATCCTTAGTGAAAACCAAACTTCTGTCTCTTTTATACCTTCTCAAAGTAGCCTCATACTACCTGCTTCCAAGCAAAAAACAAATTCAGAGTAAAATTACCAGTGTATTGCTATCCAGAAATGAACTTGTTGAACAACAACAACATGGCAGCTTTCTGCTATGGATGATAGACAATTAAGTCATACTCTGAATAGACCCACTGAAATCAGTGGGTCTCCTTTGAGTGTGACTATCATCAGATATTGCCCCATATGATTGGCTGACGTCAAGGAGGCTTTTGGGTAACTAACCAGATACGCTAAATGTTAACTTTGGGGTGAGTTGTTTGTTTGAGGGCTTTATGAAACCCATGTTTTGTGTTGGTGCAGTGCCAGGTAATGTCTTAATGAAGCTGTATCTTGAGAGTAATAACAGAGAGGCAGCTTGGATTGCCACATAGAGGCCTTTTTTAAAAGACACTGTTCCCTGGGTTAACTATAGATCAATCCATATTGGGGGGGGCGGAGAGGTCAAAGTGCACCATGTCATGCTTGTAGCCTGTCTGAAAATAGCCAGCACTCTTGCTACTTAAGCATCCAATACTGTGTCCTTGCATGCACCTTGTTTGCAGAAATAAAATGAAGCCGATCCTCAGTTCACATGTATTTTGAAAGCTCTTGGAATGACACGGAGTTGGGAGTTGCATGCACGATCCAAAAGATTTTTAACTTGATCCACCAAGAGAGATTTGGGAGTATGGGGGAGATGTCGTTGTGCATTCCTGTACACTCTGCAGTGCTCTGTGCTTTCCTGTAGATCCCAGATGTAGTTTTTGCGTTCATCTGCTAGTCCTTGAGTGCTGAGAGATTAAGTGATGTATGTCATGCATGAGCCAGCCCTCGGATTACTACTAAAACGCTGCATTTCTTACAGATGTCAAAATAAGCTCTCTAAATGTTTGATAATGGAGTATGCTGTAAACTATTTACTGAAGAAGCCTCCGGTTAAACATCTTCAGTTTTTAGAGGTGGGAATCACCCTTCTTTGGGGATTCACGGAGTTTATGTGATTGCCATACAGTACCAAGCACTCGTGGATGAGGGCTGAGTTTCTAGAGACATTTCATGTAGACTTTAGGCCTGCTTTTGGTCACCTCGAGGGACCAAAACCATCAGGAGTTTGCGTGCAATTTTCGGTCACTTTAAATGCAAATGACCATGGTATCCTATGGCTCGGAATTTGAGGCACCATTTTCAAGTGCTTTTGTTCAGTGGCCTCTTCCAAAAGATATGCTGGCAGACTGTTCTTCTACTCGGTTGCGTTCATGTTTTGGTGTCTTCCTGGTGGGTGGTTCACCCTGTTCTTGACAGGGTTGTGCTACCCCCAAAAGGGGCGGGCTGCCTGGGGGATGTTCCAGCATTGTCAGTGAGGCCACATGTTGCCTCTGTAGGCCAGGTTGCCTTTCACCAGCTTAGGTTGGCAGGCATGCCAGGTACAGGTCTGCTTTGGGTAGATATAGCCCAACTTCAGTGTTATATGTTCTTCTGATAACCTGATGTTATCAGAACCTGATGGTTGGGCTACTGTAATACCATACACAGGGCTGCCTGGGCCAGGCAACATGTTTGTAGCAGTGCTTTGTCAGCTCTGCAAGCTCCCAGTCTGGGTTTAGTTGACTTCAGGACTCTCTGCTAAGACCTTCAGTAGAGGCAAGTCTTCTCTTGAGTACCTCCACTCTATGGGGTGTCATGGGTAGCTACTGGAGAAAAACCCCTTTTGATGTTTCTTTGACTTACTAATTTTCTTGCTTTTAAGATGGTTTGTCTTACGTACATTAATTTCGTTTTTAATTTGGATCTTGGGCCTTTCTTTTGTAAGCTCTAGCCATGTGAGTAGGTGTCAGATGTGAGCTATGCAAGGTGGGGTTTGAGTGAAGATATTAATAATAGCAATTTATTTGCGACCCATCTGATTGAGTTGTCCCAGCCACTCTGGACAGCTTGCAACAGATTAGAAAACCACAGTAAAACATCAAACATTAAAAACTTCCCTATACAGGGCTGTCTCCGGATGTCTTCTAAAGTTGTTTAGTTCTGTGACATCTGAGAGGAGGGCGTTCCACAGTCGTTGGTGAGAGACTACTGTGATACTAAGAAGGCCCTCTGCCTGGGAATGCTTTCATTACTTTTTAAAGGTTTCCATTACTTTTTAAAGCAAGATCCCTGTAGGGATCAGGTAGCATATCTATAATTCTAAATATAGTCTGTCTTGGATGCTTCCAGTTAAGGAAACCTAATTTTTTTCTGCTTGATATTACCATTCACACTCGTCTCCTTTCCCAACCCTCAGGATGAATCTAGATCGGAAGAGGGACCAGCCTGGAGTATATTGCGAGACGACTTCATGATGGGAGCTTCCATGAAAGACTGGGATAAACAGAGTGATGGAGAAAACGCTGCTGGAGAAGACAGTGGAATCAAGGAGGAGAGTGAAAGTGACTCAGACCGATGAAATCCAAAGCGATTCAAAAACTCGTGGGGTTTTGTGGGGTAGTGGTTAATATAAAGATTCTTGGTTCAAGCAAGGATGCCTTTTTTCTTACAGATGGTCTCTTTGAAGGTTGAGGGGAAACCTGTTTTAACAAAGCATCGTCCAACAATCCTGAAATCTGCAGTATTTCCTCTCTAAAGATGTCTAATTTATACATATTTCCAAAACAAAGCTGTACAGTCAAAACAGCAGCACCTGCCCAGTTGGAAAAAGGGAGGGGTTTTTGCCAAGGTCTCTATGAGTTTAAATATTAACATGATGCTTGCATTTCCACCTCTCTGTTTGTAACTTGGCTAGGTGTTTATCAGTTCATAAAATAAAACAGTGAAATATCCTTACCATGTAAAATTATTTGCTTCTATAGAGACTTAACCTTTCTTGGCTTCGAAAGGCTTTGTAGGTAATAAAGCAACCATTAATGTGTGATTTTGGTCTCTGAGCGTTGATATAACTGGAGATGACCATGAAAACTTAATTTTAAAAGGAGGAGGAAAAGCCAGGAAATGTAGCCATACTGTGTCCTCTCCTTTTTCCATATGTGTGTTTGTGTGTGGAGGGGGTAATGGCTTTGAATTCTCTTTAATATATTAAGTTTGCACTCTGAAAGTTAATTGAAATTTGAGATACCAGGGCTGGGATCCAAAGGACTGTGTAACTAATTCCACACACCCAGGGAGACTTTGGGATTTCTATGCTACGTGATGCATCCCTTTAGAAGCCGAGCGGAGTTTCAAAAACAATTTGTTGCAAAACGACTGTTTTTGTGTTTCTTTTCGAAAGCTTTGTTGGGTAAATAGCAAACAAAATAAAACAAGAGAAACAACAGTGTGTTAAACTGCAAATAAAATTAGGCAGATCCTTCAGCAGATACAGCAAGAAATAAAAGCCGCCGTAATCTGTAGTGGTTGGGTTTTTTAAAATACAAATAAAAGCCATCTAGGCATGCGGAAGCTGTTGGGCCTAGCTAAAGGATATCTTTTGAGTCCTCAGAATTTTCTCATTTCTGGAATGAAAATGATGCCAATGGATTGGTATAATGATAACAACAGAAAAACCGAAGGGAGGAAGGTGACAGAACTTGGCATTCTTGTCCCTGTCCCATCTCCCGTCTGAGATCCTCACCCAATAGCAACATGACGCCTGGAGAACACACTCTTGGCTGAGGCTTCCCCAGTCCTCTTCTGCAGGGCCATGGAATTGGAGTGAATTGCTCCCACTCGCTTTTCTGGCCAGAAGTCATTGACTGGGTTTGTCTTGGTCTTGGTGCCTGACCACTGTTTGATGGGTCTATTCACTGAGTGGAAAGATCCCTCTAATTCAAGGAACTCTCTTAAGAGTTGAAGGGCAGTAGGATGAGCAAGATTAACCTCCCTCCACTGCAGAGGCTTTGTCTTGGTTCAAGTAGAGCAGGGCTGTCGCAACAGGTCAATCGCGATCTGCTGGTCGATGTTTGGACAACTCTGGCTCCCTAAAAAAAAAAGCTCAACAACTTTGGCTGCCCAAAATAAGCTCAACAATTCCGGTCAATACAATGGGTAGATCACTGCCAGTGTTTTGGACATTCCTTTAGTAGAGGAAGCAGCTGGCCACTTTCAGCCCTTCAGGTGTCCATCCCAAACTATTCAGTGATTCCCCCCTCTCCTCCCCCCCCCCCCACTGCTGGCAGATGTGGTGACACTCAGGGCTTTTTTCTTTTCCAGGGGGTACTCTTTTTCGTCGTCATTAAAATGTGTGGCGCTTACTGTAACAACTTCATGGTGAGTGCCAGCACCTATTTTTCTAGAAAAAAAAGCACTGGCGACACTTTACCTCAAGGTGCTTGTACAGGGAGTTATTTTGAGTGATGAGTGCGGTTCACCTCAGAGGTAAGCTGCAACAGCCACTCAAAACAACTCTACAACCAGAGAGCAGTTACCAGTTGTTAAAATGTAAGATAAGACTCGCGCGTCTCCCAAGTTTGGCTACCCGCGTCAACGCAGCTTTATGACAGACCAATACAGTTAAAGATTGTAACAGGTTTTTTCTTGGCACCCGTCTGTCTCTGGAGACAATGAAGGAGTGTGCCATTGGGGGTGAGGTCAAGCCGTTGGGCGGTGGCAGCTCCTGCTGTAGAGACTGCTTTGTTGCAACTGGGGCAGGTGAAGATGTCCAGTTGTGCTGTGGCAGATGTACCAGGGGCCATCTACTGTACCAGTTAAGGATTAAAAGCAACAGTTATTTTGGATTTAAATCTAGAGCCCGTGACCCCCATGTGCACAGGCTTCAAAACCCACTTGCGGATCACAAGATAATGAAGTAGATGGCTGGGAATGTCTGTTATAATAATAGGCCTTCATGCTTGATGGCTGGGAGATTTGGATGGACAAATTTTCTACAGTTTTCCTACTGTAAACTATTTGAAACTAGATTCTGTTTCTAGGTGTGCTTTTTTTTAATATGAGCTTGAAAACAGCCTCCTGCATCTTTAAGCATTTAGTGCCAATATGGCGCTACTGATTTAAACCGCAAGAAACTTGCTCTCAATAAACAAGCCTGCTTTTGAATTCAGTAGAAAGGCACCAATTATACCTAGTGAAATCCTTGTTTGATGTTCCTAATGCATGGAGAGGTGAGGTTAATCTTCCTCTTTAGTAGGGCACCGAAGGAAAATTACATTTGAGCATCTGGATGGGATGGTAAATTGCCAGGTATTGCAGTATACGTCTCCTGTAGCAGCAGATGCAAGCGCTCTTTAATTCGTGATATATATTTTTTAACTAAGGGCTTAGGGCAGGTTACAACTGTTCTTACAAGCAAAACGATTAAACGGAAACAGCTGAAATATAAAACATCAGAGTAAAACCCCAGACAATGTCAATACCAGAATTCCAAATACCAGCTTCAGCTTTTGACCAGCCCTAGGGCAACCCAGATTCCATTTTGTAGCACTTCTTCAAGGGACGATTTCTGTGTGAACATTCAAAAGATGGAAGGGGGCACACACACATCAAAAACACCCTTGCTTTGTCGGCTTGATGCATGGATGGTGTGGTCAAAGCAAGGCAGCCCCCTAGCAATGTGAGGAAAGTAATTATGAGTTTGAGTATAAGCAGTCACTCACATATACATTCAGTGCATTGAAATTATACTTCGTGAAATTTCTAGAATAGAGAGAGCCACTTTGTGGACCTTTCCACCCAAGCCTCCATGATCCATCCAGGATTACCCTACTAATTTTAGTGAACTGTGCTACTTTTATGGTTCTGCTCTGACCTATAAGTTTGGAGCCTGTTATTACAATTTTCCCCGATACTGTTTTTTCCGGGGGTTGGACGAGATGACACTTGGGTGCCTTCCAACTCTTAAGATTCCTTTTTCTTTTTTTGAAATAATTTTTATTGGTCTTACAAAATAAATCACACAATTAACATAATTACATTTTTAAAAATCAAACAAGATTCTTCCGAATCTTAGGCCTCCCCTCCATGGGTCTTTTATATATCATAATCAACTGCATATTATAGTTCTCCAAAATCCAACTCTAAGATTCTATGTTGGTATTTTTGCATACTGCTTAAAGATTCTTAAATATTAAGCCGTTTAGAAATGCTTTTAAATAAATATACTCGAAGGTGCCATAGGACTCTTTGTTCCTTTACATATTGATCTAAAATAATCAGTTTTTGAAAAGTTGGGCTAGGGCCAACTTCTTGTAATATCGAACCAACATTAGCTTAGTTTATGCATTTGTGAGGCATGTATAAAAGGTGCTGGGATTTAAAACCCAGTTTCAAGTTGTGAGTTTCATTTGTTTTCTTTCTTGCTGATAGTATATCTTGCTGATAGTATGGCTCTGGAACAGATCGTGAATCAGATCTCTTCACAGATAGGCTGCTCAGCAACAAATAGTACTTTGCTTTGGAGCAATCTTCAAAGCAATAAAATAAAGAGGAATACAATCTTTAAAAAGCAAAGTTAAACATATTTAGAATAAGACATTTCCCCAAAAGGAGTAGTTTTAAGAACTGCATGTCTGCACCTGCACTGTAGAACATAGATTCTGGAACAGAACTTGATTTCCTAGGAGATGTTCTTCGTATAATGAAAGGGTAGGTTGTCCTCATGGTGGCAGTGATTTGAAACTGGAAAGCATATTTGTCAAAGGGATGGTTGATTCTTAGGCAGTTTGACTTCTAATACATGGTTATCGAGTTTTACTGAAATGTGTGTAGCTGATACTGCTAATTCTTCTTTGGGATGGTTTATGAAGCATTCCTTGCTTTGTTCGGCATGCCCAAATAATATTTGACCTCTTTGTTGCTCTCCTGTGATTTCCATCCTTGGGTGGGCATGTGCATTCCTCAGGTGCTCAATTTGGGTTCTGTAAATGGAAGCAAGGGGCTTCCATTGAACCAGGTCCTTGCGCAAGTGGAACAACTTCACTTTGCTTCCCCGTTCCCCCCGCCTGCATCTTGCGCCACACCCAAATTTGCTCTGGAGACTTGGGGAGCGGGGACCCAAAAAATAAAAATTTAAGAAGCATACAGTGGAAGGGGGAAGTCTGTTGGGCAAGAAAAAGTCATTCTGCTAACTCAATAATTTACTTATTGCTATGTTGAATACAACCCAAGGTCTGTAGTGAGTCATTTAGCCACCAGTGAGCCTTGCAGTAACCTTGTGAAATAGTTTCTCATCTGTAAAATGGGAATGATGTTGACAAGGTGCTGAAACCATTACAAATAAGGCTACGGCTGACTATGGATTTGGACAAGGGTGGAAAATGAAGATAGAGAAGGATGTGTGTCTGTGAACCTCTGGCTCCTGTGTGACTGGGATGCAGAGAATTGTACAAAGACAGTGGTGGCATCTGCCGTCCCAGCCCATTTTTGCCCCTTGATGGCTGCCCATGGCTGACTGCCGCCTCTGACTGGAAAACGCTCCCCATCCCTGATGTAGACCCAGACATCCCATATCTGTGTCCAACACCTGATGGGATGTGGGGGCCACTTCATTTTTCGTCTTGTGTTTGTCTGCTGCCCTGACACATCATGAAATCAGTCCTGGTGTTCCTGTACTGAGCCAGCTTGAGACCAGTAATTGACTCTTTGCATTGCTTTTTCAGCTCCTGAAAGGCTGTGAATAAATCTTAATTATTCTACTCCTTTCAGCCATTCGTTTTTTGTTTTGTTTATGTTTTTTAAGAATCTTTCAGCCATGATGCAGTCATCTGAATTCCAGGCCATTCCTCCTCCTAATTAACCTGCTTTCATCATCCTAATAAAGTTATCCAAATGGCAAAGTGTAATTTAGATTAATTTGCTTCTCCCTGCAAGTCATGTTATTCAAGTAGTTAGATTTTCCAGCCAGATAGCATGCATGGTTGGTGACAGTAAATGTGAATGTTATGTCAACAGCAGGGAGCAGAAGAATTAAAGAAAGCCAAATGAAGACCATTTGGGTCAGGAACTGAGCGCAATGAGCGGATCTGAACATTTTCTTTAGAAGATGATGTATAGACCCAATTGGGGATTGTTGGCCATTCCGATTTTAATGAAGCACAAATAAGGATAAACATTTGGTCTTTTCACTGTTTCCCACATGTAGACCTGTTGATAAAAAAACTAAACACTTGGCTGCTTGTGCAAGACTAGTGGTTAATCAGGGAATAATTCACTGGATGTTTGCATAAATGCTGGCTAATTTAAGCAAACAATGAAGGATGTTTTGGGGCCAGAGCACAGAGTCAAAAGCATTTCCATACAATGCAACGTGGTTTGTCATCAGTTTTGCCCAGACTTACAATCGTATTATGTGACCCGGCAATGATGCCTGTGGTCCAGTGTAACTTTTCCAAGGCATTGAGCCATGGGAGATGACCTTATTTCACTTTACTAAGCCAAGATAGTAATGATCCTTTTGGCTATGTATGCGGTTTTTGTACCACCAACCAACCAAGTCTCCCATTAACTACAGTTTCCCATTTTGTTAACTAT